CACCTGAGGAACTGCAGATGCGTTGTCGGTCTTTAAAGAAATAGTATGCTCGCTTCTTGAAGGATCTCAAGTCGTATTGGGTCATTTGGGCTTGCTTTACATCGTACGATCATTTTCATTAGTATGTATTTTGACCGAGATATCAATTAATGAATGTGTGCCCTAATGGAGTTTATAGTATTTCGTTACATCTAAAGTAAGGTCGCGATAGATCCTTGCATCGCTCCTAATTGGATTCCGCAGGCTAGGTGAAGGGCGCTTATAAATCACATTGACCTACTCAGTACCCACCCTATACCGCAAACTGCAACCACCTACTATATGACTAATTTTAGTCTAGATTTTTCTCACGCGTCTGTCGGACTAAAAATAAAAAAATGTAAGCAACAATATAAATGGCCGAAGCGAATTTTACGTTTAAACGGTAAACAATCACTTGCCTAATTACGTATTTAAAAATCTCCTTCTAAATTCGATTACGTACCGCATTTACTTGCAATTTGTACACGAGCATAGAACAAATAGGATCGATAAGAAGCGTAAAACGAAAGATTTACTCGAGCGCCATACGTAATAGGGCTTCTCTATATATAAATGCCGTTTAACGAACGAGATCGCGACACACGCACCGCGATGCCATAACGACTACACGTTCATTGCTTTAACCCTCGCTTTCAAAATTGAAAAAAAAAAACAACTGTTAAAATAACTTAGGGCCAGGACTAAAGCAATGAAACATGTTGGTGCTTTTTAAAACAATATTTAATTAAAAAATATACGAGATAACAATATTAAAATCTTAATAACTCTATGAATCGAAGGGAAAAGGACTAAATAGTTCTCTGGAGGGGTCACAATGTATCACATGGGTTAGAAGAAAATTGAACTTTCTTACGTACTACATAAAGGCGAAAATCGCTTGACGCTGTTACTAGAATAGATTGCTTCAAAAGATTTTCGCTAACAAAGTCAGAAAAGATATAAATATAGAATTGAACATTTACAATGTTATTCTTAGAGATTGTCTTTATCGAAATATCTAGTAAGTAAGTTACAATAAAACAAGTAAAAATTAAAATGAAGTATTTAACAGACTACCAATACCTAACACTAAAAAATATGTTAGAAAAAAAATCTCTTTTATTCATGTTAATATGATAATTTTTTAAATGAATTTGAACTATAATAGAATAACTACATTAAAATGAGGAGAAATTTGCGAAAATTCACCTAAAATATTTGCAGTACAGTCAACTGCATAAATATGTATACATATATAAAACTTCAGAAATTTGTATACGCAATCGTTTCCATAATTATTTATCTAGGTATCCGTATTGTTCCAAACATGAAAACATCTTACTGACGAATATGTACGTAAATATTTTTTAAACCCAAAGGCAAGTGCCTAGAGTTTTATAAATGTAAACTTATTAATGCAGCTGACTGTACATATTCAAAAAATAGCAAATATGACATAACTACAAAGGGTTCGCATTTAAATAGGGTGTTAGAAGACATGCTATTTACCCATTTAAAGATACAGAACTTTATGGTATTTGATAGTTTCCTCATTTTTATTACTAACAAGATGACCTTGAGTATTTCCTTCAAGGTCAAATTGGAAAACCATATCTTCGCCTATCGTTCGAATCGATCTTTTTGTGGTTTTTAGTATCATATAGAAATTTAATTACTGTGGTCACTAACCACACATTATTTCGTAAATATAATTTTACCCGGACTTAATTTGCAACAATGTAGCATGGAAGTAAATTGAAATGAGGAATTTAACATTAGACATGAATCATGTTTTTACTACAAAATGTAGTCATAATTTAATTTGACACAAAGTTTTTAATGCAACTAGGCACCCTAAATAACTTACATATGTTGAAGACCTTATTATTAAGAGGCACATTATAAGTCTTTAAGGGAAATTTTACTAAATAATTTGGCTAATAAAGATGATTTTATTCATCTTATATACTAGTAAAGAGTTAGAAATTGTTATAAACTAGAAAATTAAATAGTTATTAAGGTTATAAAGAGTAAAATTGTATGTCTTTATGTTAATATCTATATATTAAACCCAGTTATATATTTTTCTAGTAACTAAATGTTACGTGGAATTCATTTTCAACACAAAGTATCCCCAATAGGTATATCAACTGCATGAGACGAACAAAATTTAAAAGTCAAGTGATAAATCTGACTTTGAACTGAAAACATCGCAACCAACTCATATATATGCTGAAAATTATGCAAACCCACAGAATGTATAAATTTGAATGTCTGAGAGAACAATCTTTTGTTATCCATACATCATACAAGACATATAGATTAGACAATATCTGGATGATTTTTTTTTAAATTGTGTTTTTTTTGGAAATTATATTTAAGTACGAATTACTAATAAAATGATGAAATATGAATAATATTTTTCGATCTTACCGATAGAAAAAGTTAAGTTTATGTTTAAGTTGATTATCGATAAAACACGAATAAAGTGACATTTTCTAAAAATGATTCCTAGCTAGATCGATTTATCGCCCCCGAAACCGCCCTATATACTAAATTTTATGAAAATCGTTGGAGCCGATTCCGAGATTCCAATTATATACATACAAGAATTGCTCATTTAAAGATATAGATATTAAATCCTAAGATCATTTGAGTGTGGAAAATAAGGAACTAAATTTAAATCTGGAAGTGAGAATCGAAAGAAGACCCTAATCTTAAAAATATTATGACATCATTTGCAGTATTAACACGGCGCATGGATTTTTCTAGTCAATCCAATCGCTGCGGAAATATGAATCTAATAATCTATATCATAAGAACTATATTTTACTAAAACCCTGAAAAATATGCTTAATTAACTTCTAATAATATTGAAAATATGTTTTAAGACAATATTGTGTTTTTTATATTGTGTCTATGGGATCTAAGATAATGGCCTTGTTATGATTAACTAAAAAAAAATTGCATTTTTTTATTTTTAGATTTCTTAATTTATATACCCTTAATATAATGTGTACAGAAGTGTACATAAATTAACTACTACTAAATAACTTTTGATATAATTGTGAAAGTATTCTAGAGTAAAATATTGCTTTGAAAATTTAGAAATTATGATGTTAAATATATCACAAGCTTGTACTTCATCATTATCAGCTCACTATACGTCCCCACCGAGGGGTTCGGAGCCTACCCTAACTTGTACTTACAGTTTAAAATTATTTATACATTAAATATAGAAATTAAATATGAAATTTGTACTTAATCTAGTTAATAGAATAATTTTATTTGTATATAGTAGCTATTTTCAATATACATATAAAAATTGAGAAAAATTTTTTTTTTTACGGACTTCATCATGATCTAGGTCATATATATTTGCACTCAACCTACATAATGTGAGATTCTATTTATTTCATAAAGAATTCAAATTGTTTCCACTACACTATGTATTATATATGTTTATTATTGATAAATTTCTCTGAAGTATATAGAATTAAATCTAATATAAATTTGCAAATGACTAAAGTATATAATGTATGTGAGATCTGTTTATATTTTAAACCTTAACAATGAACCCTGTTACAAAACCTTCACTGAGAATATAGTTACTTAGGTAACCATAGGTTTTTATTGCCAAAATTCAACAACTGTGGAGGAATAATAAACATCCTGCAAAATTGATGTTCAACATCATTACTAATATGACTTCTGTTAGTAATTATATCATATACTAGCAGTTGACTGCAACTTCATTCACTCGGAAATAGTAAAATCTGGTAAGTAATAACCTATATCAGCTGGGAATAGTTTAGCTTTCTGACAGTAAAAGAAATTTTCATATTGGTTCAGTATATAACCTATGCAATGCAAACAAACAATCAATCAAATCTTTGCTCTTTATAATATTGGTATAGATGATGTTATTTCATAGCCGCATACTATGAGTTAAATCATCCTAATTTTTGAATGAACACATTCACAAATCAACACAGAGTCTCTACCCATAGAGATCCACATAATGACTTCTATTTATATTATTGTCTCTGTTTTCTAAATGAGATTGAAAGGGATGACAATATGTACCAATAAGAGTCACTGCGGTGGCATGTTTAAAATTAGAATTTTTTTTTCGTTTTGTGCCCGGGTTAGTGGACAATCTAATTATCCCCTAGCTTCATTGGAAGTCCGAGTACTATCAGTGCTCTCATCCTGCCTATCAGTGTATCTGTGCTTGTGTGAGCAGGCATGCAGTAATGAGTGATAGCAACCTGTCAGCCTCTGCCGAAGCGTCTCGTCCAGGTCGCGGTCAGCACGCTGCGCCTCCGGGCTCGGCTTCGGTGCCGCAGGGAACACCACAAGAACAATGCTCATGTTGTCTTTGCTGCCCTGGAAATTTTATACAGGCTTTAGTTATATTAAACTTAGAAAATATAATGAAATTATCATTTAATACAAATTGCTTGGTGGAATAAGGTAATATTAACAGACTGGGTTGTAGTAGGAATAATTTTAAGGTTTTCTGAATTTTGTTTTTTACTTATTTTCCACAATTCTCTCAGTACCTCTTACTTGCAAAAAGGTACTAAGAGCAAAACTATTACTCATATTATTTTACATAACAACTTCTTCAAATATTTATTGAGAATGGTTACTAAGTGCCTATGACTTATCTAATATTTATACAAGAACAATACATAAGCAATACCATGGCTATTGAATTACAAGTATTATATAAATTTTTCACATATTCAAATGCATGTAAAAATTCTTACTAGCAAATAGACCTGAAGTATGAAAACAAGAATTGGATGTATGTATCTTAATAAACATATTTGGACTAATCTCATCATCTAATACAATTTACAAACCATTAAATCATTGGTATTCATAAATCAGAAGACCAAGTCTCTCTCTTTTCTCTTTTAATAATTCAACCAAAAACTACTTTACAATAAGGGATCTTATGAGCTCTTAGGTTAATATTTAATTCAATTATTAAATAAAATTATACTTTTGATATTTGATTCCGTTGTATCTTTTTTCATAATAATCTAAAAATAACATAGTTACCTTGTAGAGACATGTATCTATGACTTGGTTGGTTATAGTAACAAGGTCATCTGTTAGCTGCAGCAGAGAGTGGACATACGCGCAGAGCGCCTCGTTGGTCATCACGTCCCACACCCCATCGCAGGCCAGCACCAGGAACTCATCCTCTGACTCCGACCGCTCGTGCACCGACACCTCAGGCTCCGGTGACACCAGCTGCTCGCACGGACCACGGTTTAGCACCTTCTTGTACTCGTAGTCCCCCAGTGCTCGCGACACCGCTAAACTTCCATTTACGCGCTGTATCATAACAGACCCACCGGCTTGGACAATACGCGACTTTTCTGATGGCAACTCTGGCTTGTGATCGCGCGTTGCGAATATCGGTGCTCCGTTTCGAGCCAGCACTGCGCGAGAGTCGCCGCAGTTCGCTATGTATATCTGCTTGGGTGAAACGAAAGCGCACACCGCCGTGGAACCCGACTTCTCCCCGCCGTTAGATAGCTCCGGCAACTCTCGCATCTTTTTATCTAGGTCCAAGAAGCCAGCTCGTATCGCCTCGGCTATTTCCTCCCGCCGAAACTCGTCCGTTTGTAAGATACATTCTAATAGATTGTCCGCGCAATGCGCCGATACCCGCGCTCCTGCGTGTCCGTCGAACACCGCAAAATAAGACCAATCGGACAGTGTACCGTTTAAAGTAAGCTGAGCGTGATGGGCATCTTCCATCTCCACGCGCCAACCCTGCATTGACGCCACGCCATATCGAAGACCGTTACCTTCTCCGCTCTCGTTGTATTTCTTAGTCTCAGGTTTGTTCAAAAAGGCTCCCATTCTGAGTCCGTCTTTGTTGTTCCTTTAATCGCACATAATTCCAACACCATCAGGCACTCGAGTTAACGTCGCATCCAACAACGTATAAGGCAAGGAGAAGCATCACTGGTAGAAAGATATGATCTAGTGTCAGAAGAGAATATTTCACTAAACTTTGTTGGTCTTGGTGATACGTGGATGCGAAAGCGCACTTGTTTTCTTTGCTTCTACGTAATTAATTCCAAGCAATGGTGTTGCGTAGATCTCGATGACAAATCGTGCTCTCTACGGAATCGTAAAACGAAAAAGCAACTCAAAAGAATGAATGGCGGACATAAATAGTATTTGTCTATGACTTACTTTTTTGACGATTTTGACGAAACTTTGAGATCAACCGTTAACGTGGAAATTAAATTATATTTTTATTTTCTCTTAGATTTTTAAGGATCGCGGTAGCATATTTTTATTTTTTTAGAATTTATCATGGACAGCATTATCAAGGACAGCAACAAAACAAAATAAATAGTTTTAGGACTGAAAAATTATTAATTACAACACGAACTGTATCACTCAACATGGTTTACATTATCATAATTGTTAAAAAGAAACGTAAGTAACAGTCACTTTAAAAAAGCATATTATTGTCATAAAAGTTGTTGAAAATAATTATTAAATGATGTCTTTGTCTAATTTATTTTTCAAAAAAAATTGTAACAGTCTGTGGTAAGTTGTCAAAAATACCTGTCAAAAGATAAGGAGATGATGTTGAGGTTATGAATGTTTTGAAAATTTAATTATTGAATTTAATATAAATAAAATCTCTTATAAAACTGTAGTGATAAATGTAAAATTACAAAACAAGTTGCACTGTGATAGAATAAATTTAATTTGATATAGTGCGGTTCTTCATTGGGCATGATTTCAATTTTAAGTACAAAAGTGTTACAAAATGTATAGAAATCTGTTATTTAAAAGGTAAGTGAAAAGAAATGCTAAAAATAAATATGCCAGTCTAAAAATGATTTTTCACCTATTATTCAAAATTTCCAGGTTGCCATTCAGACAAATCAGAAATGAATATTTAACGAACAATACTAAGCAGTTAGTAGACAGTAAATGTTCTGTGAATACTGTCAACCATTTGGTTCGTCAAATTTCGGTATCAACAGTTTTCAGCAAGAAAAGAAAAACTGCAGAGGAAAAGGTTAATTAACACCTAGTGTACTTGTTGATATTATAAAAGATATGTATGTAAATGTATTATATAAATGTTTGTAATTTTTTCCCAGGCTATAGAAAACCATGGTAGGCGTGTAATACGGTATTCTCCTAAAGCTGGTTCAGAAGTTGTAGGAATATGGCGGAATATGACTGTTCAAGATCTAGCTAATGTACTTAAAAAGGATATAGGTACGAATTTTGTTCTGCCAATGACATATTGTATAATAAGTATAAAATTCACACTGAAATACTGTCTTTTACAAAAGATAATTTGGAATTTATAAATTTTATTATAGATTGTAGCTTATCTGTGGTTTACGACGATGAAACTTAGAAATCTTTTAAAACATTTTCAGATCATATATTTAAAGCACTTGAATTTGCGGACAAAAACTCTGACACAGAATATAAGAGAGATACAGTTATACACAATCCACAAATAGTGAGGGAAGTTGTAAAAATATCTGGCTGCAGGTTCAAGCTTGTGGCAAGACCTGATGAACTAAATGAAGAAGAGGAGGTATGTCAAGTCTGTCATTTCTATGTATAGACATACTAGCTGTAGCCCGCGACTATATCCGCGCGTAATTTACCTTTTACATGTTTAATCAATATACATCTTAGTTTTAAAAGTAATTTGACTATTATATATTTTTGTTTAGAATAAAGATGCGGTTCCTGCGCCACCTGCGCCGGAGTCGGCGCTCCGCCCCCGACCGCCAGTGGTGTGTGTGATGGGTCATGTGGATCACGGCAAGACCACACTTCTCGACGCCCTCAGAGACACAGCTGTGGTTGAGCAGGAGTTTGGTGGGATTACACAGCATATTGGTGCTTTTGAAGGTACTACATATTCTGCTATGATTTTTTTTTTCAAAACTGTAATAAGGAGTAAAGAGTTAGTGGTTCTGATGATGTAAATCTCTTTTTAATAATATGATATTAATGTGTTTGGCTGACCACAAAAAGTAAACCAAAATTGTAAGGTTTATAAAACCTAGTGAATCGACCCCACATGAGTAGGATAAGATCATGATGACTGCTTCTTATAGTAAAAGTTGTTTTATCTTACTTATCACTATTTGGCAAATATTTATTTTGGATTTTCCCGTGTAATGTATTTAGTAATATATAGTAGCAGGTTTAGGATGTTTATACAAGTGTCAGTTTGTGTGTGCAGTGAAGTTGAAGTCAGGTGAGACGGTGACGTTCCTGGACACTCCGGGGCACGCGGCGTTCAGTGCGATGCGCGCGCGCGGCGCCTGCGCTACTGACGTTGTGGTGCTGGTGGTGGCAGCGGACGACGGTGTCATGGAGCAGACCGTCGAGTCCATACGTATGGCGAGAGAGGCTAACGGTGAGGTTCAAAAATTAAATTTAAATTCAAATTTAATATTATAAACTAGTTATCACCCATGTCCCCTATGTCCGCGCGGAGATTAAAAAAAAAACATAATTAGCTAACGTGTTCTTTTAGGCTATGTTTTACATCTGTGCCAAATTTCAGCAAGATCTGTCGGGTTGTTCTGGAGGCACCTTTCATCAAGCATCCGTCCATTTAAATAATCGCATTTATAATATTAGTAAAAAGCAGGATTGGAAATTTAATATAATTATTTACTACAAACAGAATAATGATATAAAATAATATTTAATTGTTGCAGTTCCGATACTTGTGGCTATCAACAAAATCGACAAGGCAGGTGTGAACATTGTAGGTATGCCAATAACTTGCATATATATTTCTTTTAATTACTTTTCTATTCGTTCAAAAATTAACTCAAATTAGAATAAATCTTTCTTATTTAAAATTAGCTGACGACCGCGACTCCTTATTCCAGACTATGTTGTACAACTATGTCTAAATTTCAGCGAGATCTATGCAGGCATTTTGGATATACATAGTAACAAATATCCATCCAAACATCTAAACTTATGCATTTATAATATTAGTAAAATAAATTGTTGTTTAAGAGTTGATAGTCTGTCATATATTTAAATGATATCAAAGGTTTATTAAAGAAAGTGTTAATAAAAGGTGAGGTGTTTGTGTGTAGGAGCGCACGTTGAGCGCGCTGTCGCAGCACGGCGTGGTGTGCGAGGAGCTGGGCGGGGAGGTGCAGGCGGTGAGACTCTCAGCACTGCACCGTCTGCACCTCGACACCCTGGTGGAGGCCCTCACCCTGCAGGCGCATCTCATGGACCTCAGAGCTGACCCTGGCGGATATGTCGAGGGAGTAGTCATTGAAGCTCAAGTCGACCCGAGACTCGGGTAACATATTTAAGACTAACTGTCGTCCGCGACTTTGTCTGCGCGGAATTTAAAAAAAAAGTTAATTAGTAGCTTATGTATACTTTCAGGCTATGTTCTACATCTATTTCAAATTTCAGCGAAATCCATCAACCGTTCTGGATGGATGGATATTTATTACAAGGTATCTCCAGAACGGCTAAACGGATCACGTTAAAGTTTGAACGTAATTTTTTTGATGAAATAGATGAACTGCAGATGCGTTGGCACTTGTAACAAATTGTAAAATATTGTAGGAAGCAAGCAACAGTTTTGGTGCAGAGAGGAACACTGCGCAAAGGTTGCGTGCTGGTCGCGGGCGCGGCCTGGGCTAAGGTAACTTACTTCTTTAAAAGTCATTCTAGATTTCCACATATTTGAAAGGATTGCATTAATATTTATAAATGAATAGGTAATTCTTAGCAACTTCCTTGTTAGTTTTAATAAGAAGTTTATTATTAGTTGGAATTGTCATGAACCGTAACCGTCAGCGCCAAAATGGTGAAGTTGAAATAGGCACAAAATACGAGGGTTATTAACCTGTCCATAAATGTGCGTGTCGGTGCAGGTGCGCATGTTGCAGTGCGGGGCGGGGTCAGTGGTGCAGGAGGCGGGGCCGGCGCGCCCGGTCAGCGTGCTGGGCTGGCGCGACCTGCCTGCTGCTGGAGACGCTGTGCTCGAAGTCAGCTCTGAGGTAACTTTGCGCTCTCCAGCGATGCAAGCGACTGTGGTACTCAAGACCTATGAAATTTTATCGTAGTCGGTTAAGTCGTTTTAGAGATACGTAGTAACAAACATCCATCCATTTAAGTTTTCACATTTATATTAGTATGATGTAATTTTGATACACAGAAGCGTGCCAACGAGGTGATGAGATGGCGTCACAGCCAGCGCATGAAGGAGAAGCAGGAAGAGGACCTGGAGGTGATCAGCGCGAAGGAGGCCGAGCACCGCGCGCAGTACAGAGCTCGGCTGGCTCACAAGCGCGCCCTGGGCCGGCTCAGACTGAAGCCTGAGGGGCCCAGGCAGAAACAGATACAGGAGGACACGCATCCCACACTCAGTGTTGTTGTTAAAGGTTAAACTTCACTATATCATTAAGGATTCCACTTTTGATGTGATTTTTCAAACAAATATTGTTAATGATGTGCAGGTGATGTGGACGGTTCAGTGGAAGCGATCCTAGACATCCTGGAGACGTATGATGATCACGAGCGCGTGCGTCTGGACCTCGTGCACTACGGCGTGGGACATGTCACACCCAATGACATTGAGGTATCACACAAAATATCGGGATTGTCCGTCTGGAAATCAGTCTAGTTTAAAATATAAAATTATAGTTATCCTTTTATGATATATCTAACACCTTGTGTAGTTTTGTTCAATCGCGTCCACAATTATTATATTATTAAGTTTATGTACAGTCAGGATCTTTCACAGTGTTCCACTAACAGAATTACATTGTATTTTGCAAAGCGACAAACTACATCCCTCGTTACAAAATAACCAATCACAGAGCCATAAGTTACATAAATTATTTCATTGTATGATAATAAAAAGCAAAAATAGCGTCTTTTTGATTATTTTCGCGTAATGTAAATGCTTAGGTGACGTTCAAATGATGTCGCTTTTAAGATGAATACCGACAACGTCCCCGATAGTAGATTTGTGTGTTATGTTCAGATAGCGCGTGCATTCAATGCGGTGATATACGCGTTCAACGTGGAGTGTCCGGTCGCCGTGTCGGCGGAGGCGCGCCGCTGCGCCGTCTCCGTCTCCTCGCACAACGTCATCTACCGCCTCGTCGACGACATCAAGCACCAGATCAGCGCCAGGATACCCAAGCGACAGGAGGAGGAGTTCATCGGTGAGACCCTTATATGTACCTGTCGCCCCCAACTCCGTTCTTGTAGAATTACATTAACGTTATTACTTTATCCGTTCTTCCAAACTATGTTCTACATCTATGCCAAATTTCAGCGAGATCCCTTTGTCGGTTCTGAAGATACTTTTAAAAAACATCCATCCATAGATTCGCATTAATAATATAAGTAACGGGAGCGTCGGTGGCTCAGTGGTCAAGCACTTGACTTGCAATCTGCAGGTCCTGGGTTCGAATCCCGCCATGTACCAATGTGTTTTTCCATTTCCGATTTACATATGTACATTTATCCGACGTTCTTACGTTGAAGGAAAACATCGTGATGCAACCTGCACAATATCTGAGAAGAAATTCAAAGATATGTGTGAAGTCAACCAACCCGCACTTGGCCAGCGTGGTTGACTATGGCCTAATTATCCTAAGTTAGGATAGGCTCCGAGCCCCTCGGTGGGGACGTATAGTGAGCTGATGATGAATATAAGTAAGAAATATATAATGTTGGTGATGTCGCAGGCGAGGCGAGCGTGCTGCAGCAATTCGTGGTGTCGGAGGGGAAGCGGCGCGTGCAGGTGGCGGGCTGCCGCTGTGTGCGCGGAGCACTCGCACGACACGCGCTCTATCGTGTCACACGTAACGGACAAGTTGTATATGAAGGTATGTTTATTATATAAAAACTAATACATAACACGTACTTTATTCAAAAGGGTTTCTTTGATTTCATAATCCTGAAATATTAGTAAACTTATCGGTCTTCTTACATAAAACTTGTTTAGTACTACTGCACCGACGGCGTGGCAGCAGTGCGGGGGACACCCTTACACACCCCACCCGCCGCCCCGCGCACCCTTCACTCTGCATCTACCAGTTGCGCCACGACATTCCGCCCGACGACATACATGTCAAATATTTGTTTTTATAATCCTTTGCATTACAATCATCAGCAACCAGTCTTTCATTACATCATCATACACTCCACTCGCTCAACAAACTAAACCAATAAATCAACACTTCTATCATTAAAATTATTTTTAAAACTTATAAATTGTGTAACGAAAGAAACAGGTTATATTTGTATTGTCTACAAATATTATATAATTTATCTATTAGGTAAATTAGCTTCGATGAAGCACCTCAAAGATGAAGTGACCACAATAAAGCGAGACATGGAGTGCGGACTGCGCTTCGAGACAGAGTTCGAGGTGCAGGCAGGAGACACCATCACCTGCTACAAGATGGTCGACGTCGACGACCACACAGACTGGGATCCAGGCTTTTAATATCAAGATATTAACATAATAAATTATAGACAAAATTATTTTATTGTTTTACTACTCCATTGGTTTTCTGTTCATCGAAATAAGCTTTTATAGAAATTCATGAAAAAAAATTGTTTTGACTACTCCACAGATGTTCTGTCTTGTAAAGTAAGCATAGTGATATCTAGATTCTTATAACTTTACGATGCCTATTTGCCTATTTCTGAGTAAAATTTCAGTCCAACAAAAAAGTATTAAAACATCTATGGTTGGATGTAGTCACTAATCTGACAGTTTGTTTTTTTTCCGTCTCCAAAGAAATATTTGAATAAAGGTCTAAATGAAACTACAACATTATAAAGAAAATCGTCTATTAAGTATTAACTTGATAGGCTTATTTTGTGTCTCACTAGATTTGAACAAAAAAACTTCGTCTCAATAAATTAACGTCGCCCGATCAGCGACATCTAGTAACATTAAATGGAAAATACAAAAGAATCAATTTAATTTCGGGGTAAATTAATATTTATTATACATAATAATACATAACAAATGTACGAATCATTTTACAGAACGTACAAACAAACAGTACAACATTAAAAATGAATTATGAATTGTTTCATAGAGTTAAAATATTTTATTAATAAAAATAAATAGCTGCCAAAAACGAAACATTTTTCCGATTACTTTTTATCACATACTGCGTCATTCCTTTAATAAAACCCATCTAAACATTTTGCACTCATCATTGCATAAACTATAATACTAATAAATTTAAACTAAATATTCAATATTTTTGTATCGTAATAAATTTCAATCTCTTCATAATTCACTTTTAATATCTAGAAAGTTTAAAAATTGCCATGATTATAACATGAGATACGTCTTTGTGATTTTTTTTTCATAAAATTCTTTTGTCAATTACTAATTGGCTTAAATAAAATTACTACATACTTTAATTATGTTTGAATGAATAATATATTAACAACCCTTTAAAATATTCATAGGAATATAGAATATCTTATATTATGGGTAGTTGACAATTAAGAAACCAGAAAGTTATAACAGATTTTTAATCTTTATTGTTATATGAAAAAATTAATTATTTTTTAACAAAATAATTTTTACGAAAACCCATTTCATCTCATGCTATTATCAAAACAGCACAAATGATATATTTTAGAAAATATACATTTAAATAACAAAATAATTTAAATAACTTCGAAATGTATTTAATATTTCAATTCAAGTAATTTTTTAATAAAAAATAATAAAAATAATTTGGAATTGTATAAATTTCTAAACGACAGAATATGTAGAATAACTTTACAACAGGGAAAATGTGACTATAATGAAATAAATTTACTAAATTGTCAAACACGATTTCAGTCTACCCTCTTTATAATTTTTTATTTGCCTTTCTCTTACCGGAGTAGTCAACATTTCTTATAAAATAATTGGGTACATTAAATTGTTATCCAAGTTATGGATAAATGCATTTTAAAAATTATAGAAATATCAATAATGTTAGTAAGCGCTGTTTTTTGTAACTACCAACTGCAACTGCAATTTACATAAATAAAACTTGATATACTAGGGCTGTGCATTTTCCCAGACATTCTGAGTAAAAATTTAACATGAATTATTTCCATTTTGACTATTATAGGTTGAAACTAAAATCGTATTTGACTGAGCTACCTACTAGAAACAATTGTAGACAATTCGACAATTTTACAAATCCACCAAAACGTTTCTGAATATTTATATGAATTCGCTCAAAGTCTCAGACACAACTTCGTTATATTTAAATTGCTTACAAAAACTGAAATAAATAATTAACACGAATACATCGAGAAATCACGGGTATGTTCGTGTTTTGCGGCAGACATTTATTCATACCTATACAGTCATTATTAATTAAAAAAAATCAAATCATTACTACTTAGGTTGAAGAAGGATAGATGCACTATACTGTTTTCTTTAAAACATGGTGAATATTTTTTTTCTAAATAAATTAAAAAAAAATTAAACTTCCCATTTTTATGTTGACAAGCGTGTAAAAATTTAGACGAGATTTCTTCTAATAATTTAAAATTATTCAACCACACCTTGCAAAACAGAAAAGTGTAAAATTACTAGTGTGATTTCAACATAGAAATTGACAGCTCTGTCTGATCAGTTTGACAGTCATGAAATACATAGACAATAGAATAGAGTTTGACGTTTTCCCGCCATCGCGTACCACTTGTATCGCGCAAGCAATCTTTGATCGCTCCATAACCTATTCACTATATTTACAGTGAGCCGAGAAAAAAAAACATATTTACTTATAATTACAATATACACTCCTCTATACAGTCGAATCTCATTACTATTGCTACAAGAAAATTGCCTTTTCAATATCCCGAAATCTATTAAGAACAAACGGATATTTAACAACGAAAGTGTATTTTTTGTTAATGATCATAATGAAATAGGTTAATTAGTTTAGTATTTACACCATGAACAGTGATGTGAAACAACAGAAAAGATTGAACCAATTTTGTAAAAATTCAATTGCCTTTTTATTTATGACATGATGAAAATACGTAAACTATAATATTAATAACAAAAGTAATAAATAATTCAAAGTAGCAATAATCTCTCACACATACAAAATCAACTATATTTTAATCTCTACAATGGAATAATGTAATTCTTTCAACGGCCGAATATAAAACTGTTAATAAATGCCTACCATTTCACATATCCTAACAGTCTGTTCAATAAATATATACAACATTTTAATTAAAATATGGTATTATGTGATATGAATATTTATAGAAATTTATTTCTAATCATAACTTGATGGACAAGTTACGAATATGAGCAGAGTTATAATTGTCAAATTATTAAAACAAATATTGAACATAATGTGAATTAATTTTGAACAGACTGAGATGACAGTTGGTATTAACTAAAAGTGTCACTTACATAGGCTGTAACACGGAGCTAGTGAACTATGGGTGTCAATGCACTGCACTGCAGGGACTAGTCGACGAGGTCGATGCGGTCGGCGCGCTCGGAGCGGCGCGGGCGCACCTCCCCGTTGTGCTGCCGGGTGGGCCGCGCCCACGTGTTAACGCAGCCGTCAGCGCACGCCGTAACGAAGTACTCTGCGCGAAACAGTAGCGACGTCAGTCGCTCGTGTGCGATCTTCTTGCAGATCAGCGGCTCCAGCACCGGGCACTCGTCGAAGCGCGGACACGACGGCGTCCCTATCAGCTTCAGAGGGTCGTACGTATCGTTCGTATGTGTGCCCGCCGACTTGCCCCGCAGCGCGACCGTGTTCGTAGCCGAAGTCTTCTCGGCGGGCTTCGATAAGCTGAAGTTCCTCCGGTGGTCGGATCTTCGCTCGCCGAATGAGAAACCCGCCAGCCGTTGGGTGAAGTTGACGCCGAGCGAGCCGGAGCTCTCCTCCTTCGCTTTTCCGACGCTGATGTTCAACGTGGAAACGTTGTTTGCTTTCGTCTTGGCGACAGGCTTGGCGCCGGAGGGCTCGCCCGCCGCATTGTTGTGGCCACTTAACTCGGCGTGCTTATGCCCCACTTTGTTTGTCTTGGTGCATTTCGTTGGAACCTTTGCCCCCGGAACTCCGTTGGGAGAGAAGTTCTGGCTGTTTGGCGATAGATGCGCCGAGGCCCGCGCCCGCACCGGTGGCCTCAGTACGTCCTCAGTCAGATCCCAGAAACATAACTGCGTGTCCTGCGAAACACTACCTAGTCTGTAGCACTGAACACTTTCACTTTTCTTGTCCTCATCCGCGACCTCCTCGCTGTCGCCCTCGCTGAAGCTGACGACGTAGGGGTCGAAGGCGACCACGGACACCCACGACCTGTGGCCCTGACCCCGCGCCACTACTCTCCTCTCGCCGAAGGACCACACGGTAACTAGATCGTCCTCTCCCCCGACCACCACGTACTTTCCGTCGGGTGACCAACATACACACAAAAATCCACCAAAGTACGAGCGGGCTCGACCGATCAGTTCCATGGTGTCGTAGTGGAAAACCCTTAGAAAACCATCCTGTGATACTACAGCTAAATTCGTGCCGCACGGGGAGAAGGCGAATTCATTGATGCAGCTGCCATCGACACCGATGAGCCACCTGTAGAGGGGGTTGCGGGTGGACTTGGTGCGGCACGTGTGTATGGAGTAGCCATCGCCCTGCTTGAACAGCTGGTAGTGCGGGGAGGCGGTGCCACAGGTCAACTCTTCGTTGTACACATACAGCTGGCCCGAAGCATGTGCTGCTATGAACAGGTTGCTCGACCCAGGAACCCACTTGATGCAAGTGACGCGTGTCTTATCTATCAGTCTCTGGAAACAATGATGCAATATATTCAAATATGCTATTATTATTATGTTATGATAATGGGTGCAACAATAATGATAGCACATGCACATATTTTGTAGGTTGTAAATAACTAAATTGAAACTGATTTTATGCTACATCTTACATCCGTATCAGTCCATAATTAGAATAAATTAAACTAAAATAATAATGAGACTGACCTCTTCATTGTATAATTTACTTAATTCCTTTTTAATAGGATCTATGAGTTGTATCTGTCCAGTGGAGAAGCCAACGACTAGTGCGACGCTCTCTGGCGTCACCGTAGCCGCGTTGAAATCGTGGCACGTTGGGTTTGTGCCCTTGTACATTTTTTTGTCCACAGGCTTCGTGAGGTCAGCTGCCTGGAAGAACAAATGTTCATGTAGGTGTAATGAGATGGCTAATGACTTTCACACTATGCCACTTGCACTGAGCTCACTGTAATAAACATAGGTGCATTGACGACCAAACTATGAAGAATGAGAGGGTGGCATAGTTCTGTCCAACAAAAAATTACTAACTTCTTTAACTTTCAAATTGAAATTAAACTTAATGTAAAAATAATAGTTAACATTCACCATGAGCAAAAAAAGATTGATTATAATACTGTTCTTTAAAAAACATACATTAAAAACTACTTTGAATTTTGTTAAAAATATTAAAAACCTTTACAAATTCACTTTTAATTCTGAAAGAAAACAAGATTTAATTATTGCGGCATCTTGATTCAATGAAACTGAATCCAATCAATAACAATTAGAAATGCTGTAACAATGTTAAGTTAGTTACTTCTGCCCGAATGAACACTACAGCCTAGTCTCATTTCTATTTCCTTTCATTGAGTACAACCTTCACAACATATTATACAAGTTATTTTAATTGCACTACTAAAAACATGTTTATTTAATTTTTACATTACATTTTTACATACTTTCTAATCACCCAGCTATATGAAATATACTATACATTCAATTTTCATGTGTTTGGTAGTTACAATTACGGTTAATACACATAAAAATTTTATAGAATCACTTTGTTTGTCCGTCTGTCTGTCTGGCAAGATTATTTCTTATCATTACATTTTGTTGTGCAGGAGATAATTTTACTTTTACCCACTCAGGTTAAAGTCTATCCTGTATTTATATTTGCAACAACTTTAAATGACATTAATAACCAGAAATATGCAATCAATATGAGTACTTGAGATATAGGAGATTGATAGCTGTTAGATAACTAATGTAGTGAAGAGATTGTTTACTTTTCCTAGTTTTCATATTAATAGGCCACGCACTATGCATTAAATACAGGCAAGAACACCATGTAAACAAATTGTTATTAAATAAATAAATTACCTTTTTAACACCTCTGTAAACATAAACATAGAGTTCTTTCCCATGATTGAAACATATTCTGTCATCGGAGGCCTGTCCGTCGGAGCCGGGCGCACCGCCCCCCGGCCCCGGCGGCAACGACACGAGCGACACGCGGACATGAGTCGAGCCTGAGCCACTGGTGTAACCCACACGGTTCGGTCTCGAGTACTCGGACAGCGTCATCAATCTGTACGTGCCTTCCCGTGTCACGAACTGTGTCTTCACGTCGTCCTTCCCTCCGGAGTCCGGTTGTACGGCCATGTTATCATATCCTGTTATTATTCATGGAGGCGGCTAAGGAGGCCCGATTTCGATCAGTTGACACTTGAAAACTCCGACACCGCACGCGAACACTGCCGCCCATTAATTACGTTCATCTTTCACATGTGTATAGTGTTGTTTCAGTTGATTGGCAAGACAACTATTAAACTTAGTGTTATATTTGTCTTAATTACTAAATGTCGAATCAAATTAGATATTCTTGTGTATGCAACATAAAAAGTCATGTGTCAGACAACATGACGGCTCGTTGTTTATGGTGCCATTTTAATTTTTTTTTGTCAAGTGGTTCACAGAGTAGTAATAAAAGTATCATACAGAGAATACATATTTATTTTTAGAACCTTTTTATTGAAAAGTACTTAGAATCCAAATGTTATTACCCATATATGGGTACTTTTCAGTTCATACAGTAATATGTAAAATTATAATTTATTCTGAACTAATAAATCACGAGGGCAAGATCACTACATAACTTCCTTACTGGAAGTTAATTTTGATTAATTTAAAAGAAACTCTAGAGGTGATTTTTGAATGTATAATTACAACAGATTTACTTAAACATTAAATGCATTATACAACATGTACTTTAAATTAAGTTACTAAACCACTTTCTGATTCTTCTGGTTGTTCTAGCACAGTAGATTCTGTACTGCTTTCAACTTTATTTTCTTCTGCATTCTCTTTGCCTTTAGCTTCATTTGTGTTATCTTTCTTGTCAACTAAAGTCATTAATCCACTTTCTGTTTTATCAGCTTTTTTGTCTAAAGCTTCTTCTGTAGTTTTATCTAATTTACTTTTGTCTCCACTCTCTCCACTGCTACTTTTAGCTTCACTAGTACCTTCCTTGCCTTCCAAAAATTTATCCCATTTATCTAATCTAGTATTAATTTCTGCATCAGTTTCAGCTATCTTGTACTTGGTCCAGCCATCCCATATCTCTGCAGTTATCTGTCTCTTGCCAAACCATCTCCCATTTATAAGTTGCACAACTGCATCCGCCTGTTCTGGTTCTTTCATTGTAATCTGGGCAACTCCCTCAGGGTGCTGGTCATAGATAACCACTTTCCTGACATCTCCACATTTTGCACATTCCTCCCTCAAGTCACTTTGATAGTCTAATATCAATTGTACATCTTCGTTGAAGTCTTTTGGGTGGAAAAGATTTTTAACTATCACAACCCTTTCATGTTTGGATCTCTGTCCTAATAATTTCTCTGGCTTCCAGCCGAACAAATTCTGTTGCATCTTTCTTATTTTCTCCAACTCTTTTTTCTTTTTCTTTTTAGGCTTAAGAGCAGGATTGTACTCTCCTTTAAGTTGAAAATGAGCTCTTTCCACTTTAACTTTGTTACCTTTTAGATCACTACCATCAAGTAATTTAAGTGCCAATTCTACACTTTCTATTTTTATATAAGTGCATAGAGCATCACCCTTGAAACAATTCTGTTCTTTGTCCATATACAATTTAACTTTCATTTTCTTAGTGGTAGGGTCTCTTTCCACCAGGCCACATTTTTGCATAAAATTAACAAACTCTTCTTCATTCAAATCCAAAGGCAAATTAGACACATACACCTTAGTATTTTGTTCATCCGATTGTTCAAACCACTGTGGCTCATTTTTTCTTTTAACACCTTTATTTTCCACCTTCTTTTCTTCTTCATCCTTTTTTTCTTTTAATGTCTCATCTTTACTGTTATCTACAAATCCATAGGACATAAGATAATATGCTAAAAATTCATCATCAACATTTGGTAACCAAGCCTTTTTACTTTCATCCCAAAAACATTTGGAACCATCAGGCTCTGTGTAAACATGAGTATCATTCTCATAGCTGTATACGCGGCCTGATGTATCAGGATCCCAAGAGTTGGTCTCTTGATTCCAGAAATATTTCTGCTGGCTTGTGGGATCTGTGTATACAGCTTTGTCACCTATATAAGTTACATATGGTGCATAGTCACCCCATGCAGCAGCTGGTTTTTCCTTGGTAGTTTTGTTAGGTGTAATATATTCAGCCACTTTTGGTATACTTTCTTGTTCATGTCCATCAGTTTTTTCATCTACATATGATTTATTAACCCCTTTGAATTCTGCTGCATTCTCTGTTTTGTTTCTTTCATTTTGTCCGATGCCCATACGGTTTTCATTTTCAGTAGTGGTTTCGGCTGCTTCTTCTATTGACTTCTCTTTTTTATCTTGTTCAGACAGTTTTTGGACTGTTTCACATGATAGTTTGATAACAAATCCTGATTTAACATTTTTTTCAGGTTTTGACATATTGCTTGCCTCTTTCAAATCAGTAGTTAAGAGTTAGTTATAGATATTTAAACATTATAAATATAAATTAAAAAAGACATCTAATTAAGTAAAAATTAAAATAATTTCCATAAATTATAGATTTCTTTTATTTTACAGTTGTATTGTCAATGTCAAAATTACCAAAGAGTAACTAGACAACAGCAACAGACTGTAACAAAGACAAGCATCCAACCAGTAATTATTTAATACAGATGCATTTCCATAGTATTTGTCGTATACAGAACACTAGCATAATTATTCCTAATGGTAGAGTGTATTAACCATTTTCATACAGCCCTAATTGTGTTAAAATGTGTTTAATTGGTTGGTTTGAAAATTATATTTTATCTGTAAACCAAAAGTGATCCCGTAACTACTCTTTGGTAGAAAACAAAAAATATAAAAAACTTAAAACCCAAACAAAAAAATTACATGTCAAATTATTAAATTGACTTGTAAAGTTGTGAAAAAATATACTTCTAGTTTTTTCTTACAATTATTTAAATATGGAAGATCTGAAGAACGTGTATATTAGCCCGTTGCCGGATTCACCATACGTAAAACCATTCCGCTTTAACTATACACAAAATGGGAAGGAGAAAACCTGGGACCTGCTGGAAGTTCATGACAGCGTTGCTATCGTTGTCTTCAATGTTAGTAGGAAGGTGATGGTTTTTGTCAAACAATTTAGACCGGGTAAGTTTAACGTCCCCTTAACTGAAGCCAAAACGGAGCGATCTCATATCACGCGTATATCGTATTATTAATAGTCTAGTTGGAATAATGAAAATGTAATTATTTACAGCAATTTACTACAATTGCATCAGCCCTGAAGATAGAAAGAAGACTACAATAGATACGACCAAGTACCCTGCATCTCTGGGCTTAGCGCTTGAGATGTGTGCAGGTATTATTGACAAGAATAAAACTGTAGAAGAAATAGCAAAGGAGGAAGTTCTGGAAGAATGTGGATATGATGTACCTTTAAGTAAATTACACAGGATTACTTCATATAGGTTTGTGATCTCAATTTAAAAAAAAAAAATTATGACCAAGAGAATAAAATTTGCATTTTATCAGGAATTAATCTGTAGTTCAAGGATAGGTTATTCTTGATAATCGCATTTATGAGGTTTAACACTTATAGTGGAGATAGAATATTTAAAATAGTATAACATTTTGTTCCTTATACTTTAGCTAACACACAGTTAAGAATGTCAGGCATGACAAAAAATAATGTGTTGACAGTAGAGACCATTCCTTAACTCTAATTCTTTTATATATCATTTCAGATCTGGTGTGGGTGTACAGGGGGCCCTGCAGACATTCTTCTACTGTGAAGTGACGGATGATATGAAGACTGAGAAAGGTTTGATGTTATTATAGTATGGTAGACTAACAATTTTGCAGTAGTGGATCAAAATCCTACTATTCAACTAATGCCACTCACAAATTTATTTGAAAGTAGCTATCGCAGCAATGCTGAATTATAAAAATTAAACTTACTAAGTAGCCTATATGTTCTTCTAGACTATGTTCTACATGTGTGCCATATTTCATTAAAATTCATTGAGCCTTTCCGGATGTTTGAAGGTGTCTCCGGAGACACCTTAATGATTAAATTAAAATAAGCAAGTAAAATTAATATATTTTTCTAGGTGGTGGCGTAGATGATGAACTGATTGAAGTGATAGAGAAGACAATACCCGAAATAGAAGAGATGGTGAACTCTCCGGGCCCAATTACCAGCCCGCCGAGCTGTCTCTTTGCTCTGATGTGGTTCCTACACTATAAGGCAGACAAGTTTAGAAAGTAAGAGAAAATTTAACACCATATTTATAGGAGTATTTTAATATCTGGACCGGGTCTGGGTTTAATATACTGCTGTTTTAAAGTTCACAGAAGAGTGAAAATTTAATAAGGTATGTAAAAATGTATTTAAAAAAAATGTCTTCAATATCTTGGATATTCAATATTTTCTTGTCTGAAACCATTCCTTAACACAAATGTGTTATTACTTGATTTTTTTTGTATGTATTGGGTGACAAAGATTTTGATTCTTGTCGCTCAAAAATAATGCTGTACATTAAGATTATGCTATAATTATAATCATGTCCCAAACATCAAATAAGACAAGATGTCTTTAAACTGAATTTTACAATGCAAATATTTTTATAATATTTATATTTAACCACATTCATTTTATGTATGTACTTATGATTATTACATTGGATATAGTTGATTATAAAAATATTCACTGGATGATGTTAGTAAATATCATTTAAAAATATATATTACATAGTCAAACTTGGATAACCGAGAAACCTTTATAAACCAGTCATTGACCTGTCCTAATGGTCAACCTTTGTAAGTGAGAAACTCGGGTTAAAGAGAAACCTCCATAAGCAAGATCCCTTGGATTCTAGCTTATCCAGGTTCGACCGTAAATAACTTAAGTAAATAAAGTATTATATGTATTGAATTAATGAGCTTCGTAAAAGTGAACTTTGTACTTTATCCAATTTTGAATGTAGTTTTATTGATTAGTTAATTGTGGGTCATATTTTGGATTATGTAGGACTGTTTATTTGTTGTATTTATTGTACTGTTGCTTGGAAATTACATAAATAAATAGAATGAAGTCATGTGCTGTTTATTTTATAGTGTAAGATACTATTTCTTGACAATTATTTATACTAGATGTGACATAACTTTACCTACAGAACCCTCTTTATTTCTTAATTTGATTTGTGGTAATCTTTCTTCGCCAGAACTTTTGGTGGTCACTGCGCTGAATGCAAGAACGGTCTTTTAGGTGAATATTGAGCAATTTTTAAGATTATTTTGTTCAGTATTTCGTAGATATGGTATTTGAGTAATTCATCTCATCATAAAAATACATATTTGTAAGTAATTATCTAATTAGCGTTAAATTTGATTTACGAAATAAAAGCCTTACTTAGTCAACACTTTTAGTATAACATCATTATCAATCTGCCCTTATCCCTATAGAGGGTCGGCACAGTATGTATTCCTCCATACATCTCTGTCGACCCTCATATCTGAATCCACCCCCTTCTTACGCATAACCTCTTTCACATAATCCATCTATACTTTGGTCTTCCTCTACCTTTTCACATTCAATCTCATTACTTTTTGGTTTATGTGATCATCTCTCCGCAAACTAATGGTGATTATAGAACTATAGAAATTTAATTATTTGGAACTAATACAAATATATTTCAACAGCTTCGAAACCCTAAGGACCGCATAAACAATGTTCAAGACATGTTTTTTATTGAGTGCGTCTACAAAATGAAGGCATGTTTTTACAGTATCTTAAAACAATATTATAGTTGAAAAAGCTTGAAGTTATTTTGGGTTATTGTTAATATTATTTATTTCCTTAGTTAAATAAATTATTAAAAATGATAAGCGATAGTGTATTTATCAACATTTGATAAAAAAGGTGAATTTGGTTTTAGTGGTCAACTGTTATCTATGCGGTTAGTGTATGGCGTGTGTATCATAGAAGTAGGCAGATTTTCAAATATACTCACGCCCGTGACTGTGAGGTGTGGACAGAAATAATTTTAATTAATTGCTATTTTAGCACATATATACAAGTGTCCTCCTTTTTTTTTAAACTTTATTATGTTCATTTTACTAGTTCAATACGAGTTTTTATGTTAAGTTTGTTAGCTTGTAGTGACAAGTAAAATTACCAATTGTCATTTGACAACAAGTTACATGACTATCAACACTAGGATAAGTTATATTTTACAGAAATGAAACATCGAAAAGTACGTAATGTATTTATTTAAACGCTAAGTGGTAAGGGGTAGGGGGAGTGGTAT